TAGGCCTCAGCTGGAGTACTGCGTCCTGTTCTGGGCACTTTAGGTCTCAGTTGCGAGGCGAGCACACTAACCACTGAGCTACAGGACTCCACAAATTTCCACAGATCTATTGACATGACTTCTGCTTCTTCAATATGACTCTTTCCACAGAAGGAACAGAGGACATGTCTCTTCCTGGGGCTAACAGGCTGTGAATTCAGGTTTCTCAGTTTCAATATTCAGGAAGACAGATGATCCAGACGATGCTATTATTTCAAAAGTTTAAACTGGCATTATGTATGTTCACCTATAGATTTCTTATCACCTCAATCCTTACCAAGTTCTACAGCCAGGATTGATTTCAGGATTTAAGTCCTTGTTTTCAAATCCTTTCACAGCTTCAATGCATCCTACATGTACAATCTTCTCGATCCTATGCCCCAGCCTAGACTCTCCATAGTTCTGAATGTCTAATTGCACAAGCCTCACTCTCTCTGCTCCACTCACAGAGGTGACACTTTCAGTCACCACCCTTTTTTGATTTTCATCAGCACTGCAAAATGGTGAGGTTTTAATCTGTCCACCAAAAGTGTAACATTGCCACCAGCAAACAAAACCTTAAAAATATATTCAAAACGCAAAGTACTGGAGATGCTGGAATAATAATAATAATCCTTGCATTTGGTATAGCGCTTTTCAGATCGGGAGGATATCCCAAAGCGCTTCACAGAACACACTGTAAAGTGAATTGACTGTATATTTGTGGGCGAACGCGGTAGCCAATTGCGCACAGCAATGTCCCACAAACAGTCGTAGATTGAAAATGACCAATTTATTATTGTTTTTGGTTTTGGAGGGATTATTATTAGGTGTGTGGAGCAAGGAAACTTGCCCAAGGTTTCGCCCTGCCTGGAATTGAACTCAGGTCTCTCGCTTGCAAAGCGAGTGCTCTAACCACTGAGCTACAGGACTCCACAAGTTCTGACTGCAGCGTGGAGACAGCAGACCTATGGATCTATCACATGGAAATCTGAAACAAAAGTCACTGGGAACACTCAGCAGGTCAGGCAGCATCTATGGAGAAAGGAAAATGAGTCAACGTTTTGGGTCCACGACCCTTCAACAGAACCCACTTCAGACGAAGGGTCATGGACCCGAAATGTGGACTGATTTTCCTTTCTCTGTAGATGCTGCCTGACCTGCTGAGTGTTCCCAGCGACTTCTGTTTTTGCCTTAAAATTATATTCTTTTGAGAATTTGAGGCAACAGTGAAAAACAAGTTCTGACTGCAGCGTGGAGACAGCAGACCTATGGATCTATCACGCTTTGATCAGTGAATACCTAATCTCTTTATTACTTATTATTATCAAGATAAATCAGATATTGAAATGTCTCAAAGTACTTCACAGGATTTTGCAGTGAAGTGCAGTGACTGCTTTGTTCTCGAATGTGGCAGCTAATTTGTGCAAAGCAATGTCCCACAAACAGTCATGAGTGAATGAGCGATTTTATCTGGGGAATCGTTGGGCTGGATACCATGAAAACTTCCTTCTCTTTTTGAGTAGTGCCATGGAATCTTTATCTTCCATCTGAACAGGCAGACTGGACCTCCATTTAACATCTCATGTGAGGACTGCACCTCTAACAATACAGCTGTCCACTAACACAGTATTGAAGTATCAGCCTAGACCAGTGGCCAATGTTTTTGGTTAGTGAACAAAATCAATTTTTTTGATTGAATATTTATTGATTTATGGCTCCCGGGTCATGAGTTGACCACCACTGGCCTAGTCTATGAGCCCAAAGACTCAATGACCCTTATAACTCAGAGGCACAAGTGTTACCAACTGATCTTTGGTGTTTACACTGGGTAATCCCCATTATATATTAATAAGGAAAACATTTGCATTTTGTATTTTTATCAACCAGAATACAATAATAATAATGATAATAATAATAATCCTTGAATTTGATATAGCACCTTATCACATCTTTAAGACATCTCAAACACTTCACAGAATATATTGTAAAGTGAATTAACTGTATGTTTTGTGGGCAAAGCACAGCAGCCAACTGTGCACTGAAACAGTCATGGATTTTTTTTAAGGGATTATTATTTTCGGAAAAGCGATCCGCAAATCGACTAACAAGCAGATTCCTACTTATTGCTAGGTGAACAGAGGCATATGGAGTAAAGAAATTTGCCTAACATTTTGGCCTGCCCAGGAATTGAACCCAGGTCCTCTCCCTTGCAAGGCAAGTGCTCTAACCAATACTCCACAGGACTGCTCAATATGCAATATAGCCCCCTATTCTCCACAAACAGGATGTCCGACCACCACCCACTGTTATATAAAGTTTGCTGAGTACAATAGACAGCATGTACTCCTGAGAGTTCCAATAAGATGTTCTGCCAACGTGAAAGGCGCTATATCAAATGCAAGTTATTACTTTGATAATAAATGAGTCATGCATTTCCAGACCACAGTAAGATCTCATTTTGAGGGCTTGTTGTGTTTTATAATTGATTTAATTAATACGGCAGGTGGATCTCTGCTGAAAGTTTATGCCTGGCTTGTGCATGAAGCTGTTCCACAGAAGAGACAGCCAGGATCAACAACAAACATTCATCCCACTGTTCCTCAGCATTGAAGACAATGGGGAACACGCACAATTGAAAGGGATGAGAGATGGATTCAATTTCTCCTGGAAAAACAAACAAATGACAGAATCAATCTGCACCCTCAATAATATGCATCTGTATTCCGACACAGAAATAAACATTAATAACTTTGATTTATCACTGACAAAGTTGTTTAGTATTCTGAAGCTAAGATGCTGGAATATTGATTTATGTTTGGAGTTTAGAACATGAATTTACTTAACGTTATATCCCAGCACCCTGGGACGTCTTTCCAACATGACGGGCGCTCTTCAAGTGTAATTTGTTGTTGGTGTTTTATTCAAAAGCCTTTCCTAATGCTATCAGCTCTAACTTTGCTTGGTGAATTTTGTGCCAGCATCAAGATATGTGAAGTTAGTGCTGGGAATTCAGTCACTTTCCCACCAAATATCTGTATCAAATATTCCCAGGCCAGTAAAACGTTTTCAGATGCTGAGAAAAGGTCAATTCTCTGTGGCATTCTCAGCAGTACCCTAGAGTAGCTGAGCCAGGCAGGTCCACAGTACCCCAGGGCACTGCTGATGAATGACTATCCAGCCTGGCTCATCAACAGGACTTGAGAGGCAGACCAGTCACTGGGAGCAGAGATTCTTTTCACTCAACTCCTGCTCATCCTACAAGCCAACCCATTAACAGGAAGGGTGGTCCTAGAGGACAAAGAGCAAGCTTGACTGACAGTGCTTTCAATGGCAAGCTATGTGGGTTTTAGCAGATTGAACCCCAGCAGTACTTCAATGCTCACTTTGGGATCCCCAAGTCTAGTCTCGTGCCTAATATTCTCTGGAATTAGGTAAGCAGAGGGCATCCCTGCCAGGAGATGGTAAGTGTTCCATTCCAGATACAGAACTTTCTATGTGTAGATGGCATACATATGTAAAACACTCAGTCTCGTTTGGATACTCTAAAGCAGGTTGGGCATGTATAGGACACTTGCCTGACAAAAAAAACACACTCACATACAGCACCTCGCACAACCACATGGCCACTCACACACCACACATACAAATTCACACAGAACACTTCACACGCAGTAGTGCGCTCAACATCAGTTCAGTCAAAATAACAATTGATGATAATTTCCTAACCAAATAGAAAAGGCAGGTAATGTTGAAATGTATAGTGTTTAATAGACTTTGTACTATAAATCTCAGACATTCAAAAACTTCGCTTGAACCACCTTGAGACGTCAAAATGATTTGGGATGTTTTGAAAAATATATTTTAAAATAAAAAAACAATAGAAATTGACTATTTAATGTTGTCATCAATTCATTTGCTGTATTGTAAATGAACTTCCCTTTAACAATAAGTGACAAGTTCATGTCATCACTTTGAGAGAAACAATTGATTTCTGAACATTATCATATAACTGCAAACTGTCATTTTAGAAATTGCTCTCCAAATATTAATTTGTTAAGCCGCTTATCTAAACATGCCTTTGCTTGCTTTACATCCACTTTTTTCACTTGTCTGTTGAGTGAAGATAGCCGAAACAGACAGTGTTTATTGCAGTGCTGACAGATCCTGAATCTCCAATGCTTCATTAAGACAAGTTTTTTAAAAAAGAAGTGAGACCTTAAGACCATTTCTTTTACTTTGCAACTAAATGCATCTCAACCTTTCATTGTCTGGGCCTACATTCCGTGTCTGACTGGCTCAATTAATAGCTAAGCTTCGCATCAGGCTTTGAGAATCATAGTACCCACAAACAGCCATGAGGTGGATGACCAATTTTATCTGGAGAACTGTTGGCCAGGACAGCATAAGAAACTCCTTTCTCTTTTCAAATAGTGCCATAACATCCAACTGAACAGGTAAATGGGACCTTGGATTTAACAGCTCATCCATAGGTCAGCAACTCTAACAATGAAGCACTCCCCCAACTCTGCACTGGAGTATCAGCCTTATCCATGAGCTCAAAATCCCGATCTAGGGATTCGACTCAGAGGTGAGAGGACTACCGCTGAGTCAGGCAAAGCAAAGAGAAAATATGGAATCTTTAATAATGACTAAAACTTATCAGGGAATTGACTTTACTGTAGATTCAAGGTAGCAACATTACGGATTTTCAATGAAACATTGGATTTCAGGTGAAGAAAGTAATTGCTGCATTTTCTCTGGGACATAATGCAATTCAATTCCAGAATAAAGGATGTTCCTTTGTAAATATAGCTGCTGAATTATAAAATGGAATGCAATAATGCAGCTGATTCCTAACAACTACTTATATTGATACAGCCCCCTTCAGGTGGGATAACATCTCAGAGCAATTCACAGCATATAAATAGATGCAACTCTTAATAACATCTAAAAGGTTCATTAAAAATTGCTGATTGTACCTGAATAGCAGCCAGATTCTTGTGCTCTTGTGTGGGAGCCTGATGGACAAAACGCAGCCAATTTGAATGCCGTGGATTGCTGGCATCCAGGATGTAGAGCACTTCTCCTTTACTCCCACGTACCTGCAAACATCAAGGAAAATCTCAGGAGTGGTCTTATAATAATAATATTAATAATCCTTGCATTTGATATAGCGCCTTATCAGGTGTTCGAGATGTCTCAAAGTGCTTCACAGAATATACTGTAAAATGAATTGACTGTATATTTTGTGGGTGAAACATGGCAGTCAATTGCGAACAGCAGTATCCCACAGACAGTTGTGGATTGAGTGATCAAATTTTTTTGAAGGAATTCAGAAAGTCTTCCGTCTATTGCAGAAATAACAAAATGACATTGAACAGAAGAGGATTTCAAAACAGATCAGCGCTCCTTCTCAGAATAGATAGATGTTAAGTACACCCAAACACACTATGCAGCAATATAACAAACATGCTCTCCTTTGCATGAACTAACCTCTGGAAAATGCAAGTGGTTTTTACTATCCACCAATGAAGCCAGGCATATTGCCATGACAACATACAGATAAAGCATGAATTTAGTTTCTATTTTGTCAGCAGAAAGTTAGTGTGAATGCAATTTGTGTACACACCAGACAAAGTAATAATGAAAATCTGTACACTGCCTCTGCAAAAATAAATGTTAAGAAAAATACATTTCATTTTCCACCCAGACTCAGAAATATGTTTCAAAAAGAGGTCAGATACCATCACTAAATGGCAGGAAATTTAGACTGCAGGGATCAGGGGAATATTCAAGGGAGCAGTTAATTTTTGTGTCATTACCAACTCAATTATTGCTGGTATCATGCAGGCTCCATCTGGAAGCCCATTTTCTGGTTTGTGGCCAACAAACAGAAGAATGGAATACCTCTGACTTGGATATATTCTGTTCTCCACATTATGGCTTCAGTAATTGATATTTCCTGTCACTAGTCCTGGGGTATCAGAGCAAATTGTAGTGCCCCCTTCTTCCCTATCCCTCCAACTATCCCCCTCGCGGGGGGAGGGGGCATAAGCAGGGTCTACTTGAAGCAGAACTGGCTCCAAGGTGACACGGTTGGCAACAGAATATCAAAATCGAGCCAACCCTCTGTGGTAGTCTCGGTAATCCATTTCCTGAGCCAGGAGCATCTGCAGTACTCAAGGGGACTGTGGATGAGAGTACAGCAGGGCTTGGAGGGGCAGAGATTCTTCCCACTCAGCCCCTGTTAATGCTGCAAGCCAAAGCCCTTAAAGGGTAATGTGGTCCTAGCTGGACAAGCAGTGGGAAAGCTTACCGCATAGCAATATCAATGGTGAGCTATGAGGTTTTAGCTGGTTAGTCTCCGGCAGTATCTCAACGTACACTCTGGGACTACCAAACCGTAGCAATTGCCAACCTGCACCTAATACTCTCAGGCATTAGGCAATTCCATTAGGTAAGTAGGTAAGCAGGATGTGACCCTCCAGGGAGAGAATATGCATTCCATTCCAATAAATATCTCTGGAATTTCCATGTATAGGTGGGATCATTGAACTCTCAGTTTGGTTCGGATAGTCTTAAGTTAAGCATGGTGATGGGTTTCTGCATGTATCAGATGTGTCAGACACCCAGTTAACCAAAATAAAACCTCCAACTGAGATCAGTTATTGGAGCATAGTGGAGATATTGAACCCAGGAGCACCCCAGTCTATATGGCTCAGTATCTAGTCACCCAGTGCACTCACTTACCTTAGAAGCTTTATCTGCTCATTCTGTATGCTTCAGTTTTCCTCCTCCCCCATTCACTGGGGCCTGCTTCATGTCCCCACTATTCTACCCCACCATTGGTAGGTGATCTTTCAGACACTTTGTCCCAGTCTGGAATTCTTCTTTGGTTGTACCTTTGGCTAACTCTTACTTACCCCTACGATCTCCCACCCTACTCAAACTCCCACTTGGTTTTCTGCAAAGCACTTTGGAACCTTCTCCTATGTGAAACAGTTACAGATTGTTGCCGTTGTTGAGTCACACTTTCAGTTTGAGTGGGACTAAAACAGGAGTTCCATTTTGTTATTGAATCAGAAGACCTCTCCAGCTCGATTTACAATCAACGAAAGAGCTCAATCTTGCTTGTTAGCTTTCTGGTGTACATCCTTAAAATAAATATTGGCTTTCCATCATGTTAGAGATATTGTTCTGTCCCCCTTATAACAAATTGAATTTATATAGCTCCCTTCAAGCAGGATAGCATCTTGTAGGGCTTAACATGATGCAGATCTGGGAATAAAGTAAAGGTGACCGTAAACACAGTCGAAAAGAAAAGTTAAGATGGTGTAGGAGGGAGCAAGGCAGAGGAATTGAGGCTTGATTAACTCACTGTTATTCAATTACTCAATGCCCCCAACGTGAAAGGGGAGGTGACCGTAAGCATGGTAGAAGAGAAAAGGGCATGGTCAAAGAGAAAAGGCCTATATAAATGTAAAATGCATTTTATTGTTGCCCCCTCCTATCTCGGTTTCACACTTACCAATTATAACCTCAACAACAAAACAATCTTCTGTCTCATGCTAATGGGTTTATAGATTAACATTAATTGAAGCGATTGAAAATCTTTCCTCTTTTGACCTAAACATAGAAGCATTTTTATTACCAACATCTGGGTTTTACTGCGACAAATAACTCAACATAACAATAATAACAATAGCAATAATCTTTGAATTTGATACAATGATACAGTACCTATAACATTGAGAATTTCTCAAAGCTCCACAGTAATTACGACTGAATCTATTGACAATGTATTTGGTACGTTAGTGCAGCACCCAATTTGTGCACAGCAATGTCCCATAGTCAGCAGGTGAATAACTGCTTCATCTGGACGATTGTTGGCCAGGACCCTGAGAGAAACTCCTTTCTCTCTTCTAACAATGTCTTTAACATCCACCTGAACTGAACAGGCAGACGAGAACTCAGTTTAAAGTCTCATCTGAAGGTTGGATTTTGTGGGTGACAGAGCTGGGGAGACCAAAGACCATATAAATGTAAATTGTACCGGTATCGATTCTTTTTCTTAGAATTTATCAATTTTTTTTTAATGCATGTAAAGTGTCATAAGAACAGTGTGCAACAGCAAAAATCTTATTGACAGAGATGAACGTCTCAAATAACTTGACTGTTGGACTGCTTGGGAGTACAGGGTGAAATGCGTGAGATGTTCTGGGTGCAGAAATACCTGTCATTCAAGGCATGACCCCGACCATAACCTAGTTTAGCAGTTTAGTAAAAATGGTTTAGTTCAGTAAAACAGTGATTCATCAAAGAATGATATGATAAATTGAAGAATTTATGAATTGATGAAATATATTCTTTTACACACGGTGACAAATTACTTCCTCCTGCTGGAAGTCTGTCCAAATGTTTGGACGTTGTGCATTATGAATTCTTCCATTTTTCCCGTTTGTGGTTTGATCTGTTTCACCAACTACATGATCATATGAGCACTTTCTCTCTCTCTTTTGTTATAAAGAAAACCGAGTTAAGGAAGTCACCAACGCACAATAAAGGCATTTGGGGAGGGGTGGAATAAATTGCAAGCGAAGTCTGCTCAGACTCCCAGAAGGATTGCATGATTTCCATCTCCCAGACGGTTGTATTTTGTGCACGACAACCACTGGTTTCAGTTGACTGCATTTATTGTGCCCTCAACGCGAAGGGTGCTTTAGAAATGCAATTTGTTCTTGTTGTTGTTTATAGCCACATTCATCCTTGTCCAATTTTATAACCTAATACAATTAGTTGTCTCCTTTCACAACAACAATATTTTCGATATTGACAAACAACGATAGCAACTTTTTCGACCAATTTGCCCATTGACCTTTTTTTAAACCGGATATTGTGGGCTTTATAGATTTGCAATTTGCCATTTCATGAATCTTACAAGTCTGGGCTAATCCAGCTAGTCTCGGCCACAAGGGCACTACAATTGGCCTCAGTGCCTCTGGGAGAGAGGGCAGAGCAACATGGAACAAAATCTGTGCAAGATTTTCTCCTCTTCTCTGCTAAAGGTGCTAATTCTCAGCCAGAGAACTACAATTGGCCTATCATCAATGAATTTAGGAAGAGGGAATAGAGAGGCCCAAGTGAAGGGAGGAGTGGAGCTCATGTAAATACCAGCACAGACTAGTTGGGCCAAATGACCCGTTTCCACGCCGTATCTCTCCATGTAATACTCTATATAATTCTTGCTAGGATTCAGGGCCATGGAGGATGTTCTTAACATGCCAGGCAGCACTAGAAGCAAGGAAGATACCACTCTACACGATGTTCAATAACGGGTTCAAAGCACACCCAAGTTATAATCAGTTATAATGTGGAGTCCTGTAGCTCAGTGGTTAGAGCACTCGCTTTGCAAGTGAGAGATCTGAGTTCAATTCCAGGCAGGGCGAAACCTTGGGCAAGTTTCCTTACTCCACACAGAGCCTAATAATAATCCCTCCAAAACTAAAAACAATAATTAAATTGGTCATTTTCAATCTACGACTGTCTGTGGGACATTGCTGTGCGCAATTGGCTGCCGCGTTCGCCCACAAATATACAGTCAATTCACTTTACAGTGTGTTCTGTGAAGCGCTTTGGGACGTCCTCCCGACGTGAAAAGCGCTATATCAAATGCAAGGATTATTATTATTATTAGACACGTGCCAAACAGTGCATATTATAATAGGGTTAGCCACCATAGAGTTATTCAACAGAATGTATGAATGTTAAACGGAGACATGTGAATGTGGCAGCACAAATGTTGAAGCTGGGCTTCAGCATACACAGCAAACTGCTCTCAATTTATTTATTTTAGTTAATCCCCGCATAATACTACATTTTCATGGCATCATTTGGCCTTTCAAATGCCTTAGAAATTCTTTGGGACTGGTTATGCAATTGGATCTTTAATAGAATTTAATAGAATAGAATTCAAAACCAAAACAAAGAAAGAACACATTTGTAACACCTCATCATGCCAAAATGTCTCAAAGCTCTTCACAAGTAATTATTATCAATGTAATGACTTTTTGTATGTGTGCACCTGATGTTCTTTGTCCTAGAAGTGCTAGTAGGAGTGGGAAATATAAGCCAGGTTTCCTGCTCCTGCATGCTTTAATTCTAAAAGTGAAATAGCTTTACTACTAGTGGTATAAACTGAAGTTAACACAGTTTTGATAACATAGCCTGTATTGTTTAACTACAGCCTTACAACTAATCATAAATGCCATAGATCCTGCTATTTGTTACAACATCACACAAAAAACTTTTAATGTTCCCTTATCCTTAAACTAGACACAGAAGTAATCAAACTGGTGAAATAGCCTCTAATGCCAGATTGTAGTGGTCTTAAGTCCCGTAGTGGTAGAACAGTTTGTTCTGCAAAATACTTTTCTCTTTCAGATTTTGATTGTGAACCTGCAGTAGATTTCCAGCATTTTATTTCAGATTTCCAGTATTGTGATTACAGTATTTTGATTCCGTTATTAGAAATAGAACATGTCTAGGAGCCTAACTAAGGCTATGGGCACACTCCTGGACTGCCAAAAACACTTCAAAGCTACTTTGTTTTTGGTCACACATCTTATAAACATCACCAAGTATAACTTTCAACTTTAGTCTCACAAGATAATTTGTTCAGCCTGAATTTCTGACCTGTGCAAGATGATGAACTAAGGTAGATTACAAATACATCTTCAAGGGTATTTGTGTTGGGCCACTGGTAGGGGTGAGTCCTAAATCTGATGTTCAAATCCAAAGTTATCTGAACAGGAACTCTTCGGAATAATTATTCTGAAGCTCAATTCAGATCCATCTATCATTTAAAATGAAATAATAGGTTCCCTGTGCATAAAGTAGTTTGCGGGTTCACACACAGACCCTCTTCAAGTGCAGATTATCCTGCGGAATCTTTGTACTTTCTTCATCGCTTTGATGTCCTTTCCATAATAAGGTACCCCAAACTAGATGCAATACTCAATTGTACCATGACTAAATTCTTACTTACAGATTTACAGCAATGAAAGAATGAAAGAAAATATTCAGGAAACACTGAAAAATCAGTTGAGAAAGCAGGATGTCCACTGTATAAATGTGTAAGAACTGAAATGGCAGAGGTCTAATTTAGTAAACAGCCACATTTCATTGTAGTTTCATTCACCTTGTTCTGTAACGTGGAATACTTCAGCATGGAACTCTATTCATAGGAGACACATTTTTCTCCACTGTGTGTACAATCCGCATCACAATCAGAATCCCTTTTTCACATGAAAGTGTTTGAGAAGAAAAGGTTTAAATTCCTTATTTACTCTTGACCACCTAAAAAGATAGACAGAGAGTACCCCAAAGAACTCAATCATCAATTATCACACAATCCCATTAGAAAAGCACTCAATCCTAGATGTTACTGCCATTTTACAATAATTTCATGGATGGTTGAAAATGGAGACAAAGAGATTACAAGTCATCACGCAAGAAACTCTGAACTTCGAATTCAAGATCCTCACCCTCACCTACAAGGCCATTCACGGCCTTGCTCCCTCCTACCTATCCGACCTACTATCCCCCTACCTACCCGCCCGTACCCTCCGTTCCTCTGGCTCCGGTTTGCTCCACATCCCCCACCCCAACTGCCCTACTATCGGTGTCCGGGCCTTCAGCCTCTCAGCCCCGAGGCTCTGGAACTCCATCCCCCAGTGCCTTCGCCGCTTCCTCCCTTTCCTCTTTCAAGGCCGGTCTCAAGACCTTTCTCTTTGACCGTGCCTTTAGCTCCCCTCTCGACTCTCTACCCCCTCCTCACTCCCTCCCTTCCCTCTCCTCACCCTGACCATTTCCCCCCTGCTCGGGTCCTGACCCAACTGTACAGCGCCTTGGGACGTCCTCCCGACGTGAAAGGCGTTCGATAAATGGAATCTTGTTGTTGTTGAACTAGATGTGTTTGATCTTTCACAAGTGGGATTAATGTATAATATATAATATAAAATTGGAGTCCTGTAGCTCAGTGGTTAGAGCACTCGCTTTGTAAGCGAGAGACCTGAGTTCAATTCCAGGCAGGGCGAAACCTTGGGCAAGTTTCCTTACTCCACACGCCTAATAATAATCCCTCCAAAACCAAAAACAATAATAAATTGGTCATTTTCAATCTACGACTGTTTGTGGACATTGCTGTGCGCAATTGGCTGCGCGTTCGCCCACAAATATACAGTCAATTCACTTTACAGTGTGTTCTGTGAAGCGCTTTGGGACGTCCTCCCGACGTGAAAAGCATTATATCAAATGCAAGGATTATTATTATTAAAATAAAGAAATAAATATATTTGGCTGGGTGGGGAATACAGAGCAAAATAAACTGAGAGAAAAAGCACTTCCAAATGGAGTGGGAGGAATATAAATAAATGTTTATGCAAAAAGGATTAACGGACTGAGACTCTTTGTGACCTGTGATTTGGTGCAGTAATAGGAGCCATTACCTCCCACATCAGCCTGGGATCCATGGTTTCATCCAGTTCAAGGGGCATTCTCTTCTCCCCAGCAAAGGGCCCAAACTTTTCTCCCTATCGAGAAAGAGAGAACAAGAGTTTATTACAATGATAGATTGAGCCTCCAGAGGGAGGAAAAACAGATCTGCACTAACCTGCGTTTGCTTCAACTCCCAATTTGCAAAACAAATACTCAGGTTACAACACATAATATTGTTCTGATTATCTTTAACGGGCAATATAAATCACAACAACTCTTGCAGTCAATCAGCCGCAAGTATCTCACAAATAGAAGTCATGATGTTTTTTACGACACAACCTGAGACACAAACACTGTTGAAAAGAACAGGCATCCTTTCAAGAACCAATCTGAAGATTTACTGATTGATTTCCAGCATCCACAGTCTATCAGTCATTCCTATTGAAAGGTAAATGTTTGAAAATTTTAAATCTTCTGTACTTCCCGAAACAGTAAACCTGAGCAATTCTTAAATCCATTACTGTCTAGTTTGATGAGCTGGTTCACTTTAGAAGACAAATTAGAAATGCATTTCTTTACTAGCCAACGATAATGCCATGGACAGAAAAGAGAGCACCTGCAGTAATAAATTGCTGGCAGTGAGATGGAAACAGAAGGACAAAAGCTAATGTGTTTCTCATTCTCATACATAAAAAGCCTTTTAATTCTGCAGTGTTGTGTTCATACCATCCATTTTAGTTTTTAAGTGTTGTCAAATTACACAAGATAAATCTGAATGAAAGGTGCTCTGAAGGCATTACATTAAATCTTGTCAAGCTAATCTGAATTGTGCCTAGTTTAGATTATTTGGTACACAAACCTCTTATTTATTTTCCTGCAAAAGACATATTGAATCACTGATAGCTACGTAACTACTTTCTTGAGCCTCTCATAGATGAAGGTGGAACCGCCGAACTTCAAAATTGAAGACAACTTTCTGCTGATAAGGAGACAATTTATAGAGAAGTCCAAACCCAAAGTATCTTGAAACACAGTCAACTCACAACTGTTTATGGGACACTGCTGTGCGAAATTATCTGCAGTGTTTGACCCACAAAATACACAAAAAATTCACTTGACAGTATATTCTGTGAAACGCTTTGAGATGTCTTGAAGACGTGATAAGGCGCTACATCAAATGCAAGGATTATTATTATTATGATTATTATCTGTGAACAGCAAACCCTGGTTTCTTTGGGGCTATAAATCCTTTAATTTTCTGTGCTTATTTTAACAGCAGGATGAATTTCCCCCAAGTCAGATGATTTGTCCTGGGGGTGGGAGGGGAACCAATTTGAAATGCAAAGAGTAAGTCTTTGCCAAATAATAAGAGGTTCTACCCATTCACAGAAAACAGCTGTTTGTCCTTGGTTGGTTAGAAACCTCATGTTTCTTGGTAAGATAAAGGAAAGGTAAAGAAAAGGTCCAAAAGCCCCTTCCCTCCTGACTGACAAAGCTCCAAGAAAGTGGACAAGACCACTCACAATCAGTGCTAATAGGATAAGACAGGGTGGTCCAACCTTAATGGCAAACAATGATGTCACGGACAGAGGATACAGCACCTGCAATAAATTATTGGAAGTAAGATGGACAAAAGCTCAAGGACAAAAGCTAATGTCTTCCTCGTACATAAAAAGCCTTTTAATTCTTCAGTGTTGTGTTCATACCATCCATTTTAGTTTTTAAGTGTTGTCAAATTGCACAAGTTAAATCTGAGTGAACTGAAAAAAAGTACTCTGAAGGCCACCATGAATCTTGTCTTGCTAATCTGAACTGTGCCAAGTTCAGATTATTTGGTACACAATTTCATCTATTTTCCTGAAAACAACGTATTGGATCACTGATAGCTAAGTAACAACTTTCTTGGACCTTTCATACATGAAAGTGGATCCACCACTTTGGCTGCTGAGAGTAGGATGCTGGATTTGAGAAACATCAGCAGTATTTTGTCCTCTTTGGTCAGAGCCCCTGCTGACCATCTCCTGATTGGCTAAGGGGCTGCAAGTCACCTGTATTTGCTGATCAGGCAATGAAGTTGGGAATGGTTCACAGGCCAGATAAATACCACCCTTAGGCCACCAGTTGGACCACCTTGGGATAAGGAATCAGTCCTCAAGAGATACAATGCCATGTGTGGATGGGACAAACCTGATTGTCTTTTTATCATCAATGTACTTGACAATCTTATGTCCTTGCAGTTTTCCCCCACTGACAATTTTGACTTCATGTGGAATATCCTGGAATGAACAAACTAGCGTTCAGTTACCTGGAGCAGGAGCAGGATTCGATGGCTGAAGGAATTTAGCAACGGTCAACTCAGGATAAGTTGATATCTTTTATTGCAGTCACTTGTGAGGACAGAAGTGCCATATCCAAAATGCCACTTGTATTTAACTTCACCACTCATGGTTTGAAGGTGAGCAGAATCAAATTTGTACAGTACAGGGTGGTGAATTTTACGTGGCAGACTATCATCTACAAGGGTCAATGATCCAGTGGAAAGGAAATTTTCCCAATTATATAATGGAAATGCAAGGTCGTAGCCCAAATGTTTCAGTGGAGAGGATAATGCCCAACTCCAGACAGGCCAATAGAGATAGCATTGAAGCTTCTCAATGAGCTTCCTATTCCTTCTGACCCAGAAACAAAATCATTACCCACGGGATTCAGTGTCAAGCAACCTACATCTATCTGCTCCTAACTGATCTAGCAAGGTGAGCAACATGATTATAAGGGCTCTGAGATGCTGTCCAGCAAGTTTGTCTTATCTTCTAACTGTTAGAAAATGTGACAAGGATATTTCCACGCAGGTCAAGGAGTTCATTTTGCAGTGCAGATGAGATTGTAGGTAAAACATTTATTAATTGAAACATCTCAAAGTGCTTCATAGGGTTTTGCTGTGTAGTTGTAGATAACACAGCAGCCAATGTGCATGCAGCAATGTCACAAAAACAGCCACTATTTCACTTACAAAATACACAATCAAATTACTTTGCACTATATCCTGTGAAGCATTTTAGATATCTCAATGATAAGATAAGGCGCAGTATCGGAATGCTCCAGGACACTACCCTGCATGAACAACAACAACAAGATTACATTTGTATAGCGCCTTTCAAGTTGGGAGGACGTCCCAAGGCGCTGGACAGTGTACAACATTTCAAACCCGAGCTGGGATGAAGGGGGGGGAGAAGGGAAGGGAAGGGCTTTGGCCGATGCGATGGCATGGTCGAAGTGGAGGGTTTTGAGGCGGACTTGAAGGAGGCTAAGGAGGGGGTGAGGCGGAGTGAATGGAGCAGGCTGGAGCCGGCTAAGCGGAGGGAGCGGGCAGGTTGGTAAGGGGTTAGGAGGTCGCAGAGGTAGGGTGGGGCGAGGCCATGGAGGGTTTTGTATGGGAGGAACAGGATCTTGAACTGGATCCTCTGAAGGATAGGGAGCCAATGGAGTCGGGCGAGAATGGGGGAGATGGGATCACAGAGTTTGGTGCGGGAGAGAACACGGGCTGCAGAGTTCTGGATTATCTGCAGCCTGTAGAGGGAGGAGTTGGGAAGGCTGACAAGCAGGGTGTTTGCAGTCGAGCCTGGAGGTGATGAAGGCAAGAACAAGTGTTTCAGCGGCCTGAGGGGTGAGATGGAGGTCGGGCGATGTTACGGAGGAGAGGGAAGGCAAAGCAGGTCATGGCTTAGATGTGGAGAAGAAAAGACAGTTGAGGGTCGAACAAGACACCAAGGTTCCTGACTGGCTTGGTGATTTGAAGTGTGCAACCATGGAGGCTGATGAGGCCAGAGCCTGAGTTGCAGAGGTGCTAGTGTGAGCCAATCGGGAGGGCCTCAATCTTGTTCACATTTAACTGTAGGAAATTTGCCCTCATCCAGGACTTGATGTCTGACAAGCAGTCTGTCAGGACAGCAGTGGTTCTGGAGTTGAGGGTGGAGGTAGAAAAATAGAGTTGGGTGTCATCCACATACATATAGAAGTTGACCCCATGTCTACGGATGCAGTCACCAAGGGGGGAGCATGAAGATATTAAAGAGGAGAGGGCCAAGGACAGAGCCCTGGGGGACGCCAGATGTGACAGTGCGGGGGCTGGAGGAGAAACCATTAGAGGCAACAGAGTGGAGACAGTGGGAGAGATAGGAATCAAACCAGGCAAGGGCAGGTCCGTGAAGATTAAGTGAAGAGGAGAGGTGGTGTATGAGGATGGAGTGGTCGACAGTGTCGAAGGCGGTAGAGAGGTCGAGGAGGACAAGGAGGCAGAGGGAGCCCTGATCACAGATGTTCAGAATGTCATTAGTGACTTTGACCAGGGCTGTTTCCGTGCTGTGGGCAGCACAGAAGCCAAATTGGAGGGGTTCAAAGAGGGAATGGCGAGAAAGAAAGGAGTGGAGCTGGGATGCGATGACTTGTTCCAGGATCTTGGAGAGGAATGGGAGGTTAGAGATGGGATGGTAGCTGGAGAGGAGGGATGGGGCCAAGGAAGGTTTTTTCAGGATGGGGCTGATGACGGCTGTTTTAGGGGGCTGGGAACTGAACTGGTGTACAAGGAGAAGGGTACTATATAAATGCTAGTTGTTGTTGTATATAAAATGCAAGGATTATCATTTATCTGAACGATCATTGGCTAGGACATTGGGAGAGACTGCCTTCTCTTGTCAAATACTGCCTTGGATTCGTTAACCTCCAACTGAACAGGAAAACTGGCCCAAAAACAGAGAGAGCTGGGAAAACTCCGCAGGTCAGGCAGTATCTATGGAGAAAGGAAAGTGAGTCAACGTTTCGGGTCCACGACCCTTCATCAGAACAGTAAACTGGCCCTCAGTTTAACATCTGATCCAAAGGATGGCTTCCCCAGCACTGCCACTGTCTTGAGCTCATCAGACAGACTATGAGCTCAAATTCCTGATGTGGGGCTTGAACTCACAACCTTCTGCCTCAGAGATGAGAGTGCTACCAACTGAGAAAGGTTGTTTAGCAGTTGGTGTGATTATTTGTTGGCATTGAATACACTGTTGCACCAGTTAAATAATACAGCCTCTCATTTCAGCTCATGTAATGATATAATATTTCAAATTCCTCTTTCCCCAAAAAATCTGTGGTACACTTAACCTTGAAGGATACAATAGCTGAATACCTGCCCATCCCAATACCTAGGAAATCCCCATGCTGTTTATGCAAGAAATAATAATAATAAACCTTACACTTGATACAGTGCCTTATCATGTCATCCAGTCTCAAAGCGCTTCACAGGATATATGTAAAGTGTAGCGACTGTATATTTTGGGTGTGAATCGCAGCAGTGAGTTTGTGCACAACATTGACCCACAAACAGCCATGGAGTGAGATACCAAATTTATTTGGGGGAATTGTTGGCTATGATACCAGGAGAAACTCCCTTCTCTCTTAGAATAGTGCCATGAGATCTTTAACAACATCAACAAACGATATTTGAATAGCATGTTTCAGGTCGGGAGGACGCCCCAAGGCTCTGAAATCCCCACTTTCACCTGAACAGACAGATGGGACCTTGGTTTAACGTCTCATCCAAAGGAAGGCACCTCCGACAATGCAACAGATCCCTGGCACTGCATTGGAGTGGCAGCTTAGACACTGATTTTTTTTAATGAAAAACTTGTAATAATATGGTACCACTTTAAGAATACTGTTGAACTCAGCGTCATGAGAGTTTTTTGTACCGTTTCCAGCAAATTGCAGCTCGCAGAGAGTTGGGGGCTGGGAGCTGGGAGTGAACCCATTGAAAACATTGCACTTTATACGTGGCACTCAACAGCAGCCCTGTTCCAGCACAGCACAGCACAGACAACAGACAAATGTTACTAACGCCCAACGCGCTCATCCCGTTCAGACCGCAAACCAGAGACCGCCAACGTCAATGCACGATTCTGTTTGGACAATATGATTGCATCTGCTATCTATAAGGGGAAAACAAACAAACAAACAAACCTTTTTTACTCGTCTGGCAGTGTACAGCCCGATCCCTTCTTGCACCTTGGACGATTTCAAGGAAAACCTGTCTGGCACGTACATGCCGAGCATTTTCATATCTCAGGGCTGAGCTGCTGCAGGACAGTGCGGGGTCCCCGCCGGCTCGGCTGTAGCTCCAGCGGCCCGGGCTCATGGCAGTGACTGGAGCTCTGCTAACACTTCAAAACTTCCTCCCTCTCCTGCCCTGGCTGCCATGTTACTGCCGGGATACCCTGAGCAAAGCAACCATTTGATAGGCTCAAAGTTCTCCCCCCCCCCCCCCCCCACCCCCCACCACCTCCTCTTTTTCCCCCAAAGCACAGAGCTTTTAGCAAAAGTTTGCAATGTTTCAAGGAATATTGCAACACACACAGACACACGGTTGGTGGTGGGGGGGTGAGGAGAATCCGATCTTCGCAATTCGCGAATGAATGCAGCCCCCCAGCAAAACTCAACTGTACCCTCCCTGCCTCTTGGTCTTAAAACATTAAGTGCTGAGTAGGTTCACCGAAATTGTTTTTTTTTAATGAAAACGAAATAGCTTTGGTGTGTACAGAAAATAATGAATATAATTTACAATACAATTTTGCATTTAGAGAGCGTCTTTCACAATAATAATAATAATAATAATAATAAACAAGGAGCTGATCAAGGTTCAAAAGAGTTTTTTAAAAAGCAAATTAACACTCAACATGCTTCGTAAATTACATGAGTATTGTATTGTGTTTGATTCCTGGTTGCAATGAGCTATCCAAACTTTATTGCACAATGGATTAATGAAAACCTAAGATCGAAAAGAATAAATGTGTTTAAACAGCGTTTGGAACATCCTTCTGGGACATTGGGATATCCTCCTGACATGAAAGCTGCAATATAAGCACTAGATACGTGCAAGTTGTTGTTAAAAGATTCAATAACTCAGAATGGAAGCTTGTGTCCAGCTGACCAACAATCAGTACTGAAGCCTGGGTGATCTGGTTTGCTTTTAACACATTGGTAACACATTTCTGTGTTGTTTCTTAATAAGATGAAATATATTACCATCAGTTAAAGCACTAGTTATAACAAAAGCTTTAAAGTACTCTGCCACAATTATAAAATACTTGGTGAACTACACGGTTGAAATTTCCATGTATTAAAAAATGATTAAGCTTTAAAATCAACATGAAAGGGCTCGGCATTTGTTGCTTTCTATTATTTCTAAACAAGTCTTCTAAAGTTTTTCAAAATAAAACTAGAGTCATAAGATATTTGCCTCAGATGTCATCTTGACCTGATTTCCGATGAAGGTGTCACTTTGCGGCAATTAGGCACAACCACTGCATAAAATCTCTGCATAATCAGGGAGCACTTCCTATGTTTTTAATGATAAACAAAGGTTAAAAAGCAAAATACTTAAATGTGTTCCTCTCAGAGCAATTGTAGTGTTCACTGAAATTACCCAAACACAAGGGTAGGTTGATGCAATGACTGGGACACATTGGGAAGGAATGAATGGGGATAAAACAGATAAGCCCCTCCTTTCATCTATCATCTTATAGTTAAAATAAAGAATGGGGAGGAAAGGACACATGAAAGTTTCAGATGCTAATATCTACCATGAATATTGTTTGCACAGTATCAAATGTGATGATATAGTCATACAAGTATAATAATCCTTGCAATTGTTGAAACAATGTTCTTCCCAACTATTTGACTGTACTTAGGGGTAAACTCCGCAGGCCATTTATACAAGGCTCTATAAGCAGCCGGGAGGTATTAATTGACCTGGACGAATATTGTCCAGGATTCAGGGAGAAGCTCCTTTCTTTTCAAATAGTTTCATGGATATTTAAACATTCAGCTGCTCAAGCAAGCAGTCACATTTCTCTCTGAATTAACTCCACATTATCATCTGCATGCTTGAGGCAGAATAATGTCAACAACTTGCATTTTCGTATTTTGGGGGGAAAATGTAAATAAAGATGGAGTGGGAGCCCGAGCTGGATGTTGCAGGGGGTAGGTGGACACAGGTGATATCAAAGAAATAGATTTTCAAACTGATCTTAAAAGTGGACAGGAAAGCTGCAAGGTGCTTGGATTTTGGACAATCCCCCAAATAAACTTGTGGGGTACTGCTGTGTGCCACTGGCTGCCACATTTGTCCACAAAATACACAGTCAATCCACTTTACACTACATCCTGTGTAGCGCTTTGGGATATCTCAATGATGTAATAAAATATTATACCAAATGGAAGCATTATTATTCTACAAATTTCTCAGTTCCTTATAAACAGATACTTTCACTATTTGCTGCCATTTATTTTAGCTTCTATTTTATTTCCTTTTTATAATCCATGCAATACTCTCTCAAGCTTTACTATATAATAATAATAATCCTTGCATTTGATATAGCGCTTTTCACGTCGGGAGGACGTCCCAAAGCGCTTCACAGAACACACTGTAAAGTGAATTGACTGTATATTTGTGGGCAAACGCGGCAGCCAATTGCGCACAGCAATGTCCCACAAACAGTCATAGATTGAAAATGACCAATTTATTATTGTTTTGTTTTTTTGGAGGGATTATTATTAGGCTCTGTGTGGAGTCAGGAAACTTGCCCAGGGTTTCGCCCTCTGCCTGGAATTGAACTCAGGTCTCTCGCTTGCAAAGCGAGTGCTCTAACCACTGAGCTACAGGACTCCACTATAGATTTAATCGGTGCAAAATGATCTAAAATACTTCCCATTCTTTTGTTCTCACTTGCATTTATATTAATTAGGTCATTTAAAGGAGGAAATTAAACACCAATGTAATTGTATTTTTTCTACTGCCTAAGTTATAAAATAAGCACTGACACAATGCATTGCATGCAGTAAAGGGTTACAAAGCCATCAGACTCTTGCTGCACTGCCAACTCTACATTATTGTCCTCATGGGCTCGATGTAAGTACAGTAAAACTCTGAGAATTCACTAAATGCCAATTCATCTTTTAATATTATTAGTCATGAAACCAATTGTCTATTGATGTTAAAATCCTTGAAGCTGTGCAATGGACTTCCTGGAGTTTTTAAACTTACATTTTACATTTTACCCCGACCCACCCGCCCTACCATTGGCGGGAGAGCCTTCAGCCACTCTGCCCTCAACCTCTGGAATTCCATTCCCCATTCACTCCGACTCGCCCCCTCCTTAGCCTCATTCAAGTCCCGCCTCAAGACCCTCCTCTTCGACCATGCCATCGGCCACCTCCCCTCTCTTCTCCCCACTTGACCCCAGCTTGGGTCTGAAATGCTTTCCACTGTCCAGCAGCTTGGGATGTCCTCCCGACGTGAAAGGCGCTATACAAATGTAATCTTGTTGTTGTTGAAAAAACTAAAGTCAGACTGCAGCTATTATCATGCAAAGCAAAATCCTTCCAAGATTACCTCTCACACTACTTGTTTGACTCAGTTCTGAAACTGAGTTATACCACAGCCAGAGGTGCACTATTTTATAGAGGTGCCATCTTTTAGATGAAATGTTTAATTGAGGCCCAGTCTGCTTGTTCAGGTAGGCGTTAAAAAGATCTCATGACACTATTCGTAAAGTATCCTGCCAACAATTCCCCAATTGATCATTCACTTCATAGTTTATGGGTCACTGCTGTGTGCAAATCTGCTGCCACTTTGGCTACAAACTGTACAGTTACTGCACTTTACAATTAATTCTGTGAAGCGCTTTCAAATGTTTCAATTACATTGAAAAGCAATGTATCAGATGCAAGGATTATTATATTATTATTGCACATTTGTGTAGTATAACTGCAGCATAAAACAATCGCCCCGAGATGTGCTAATTCTCACCAAGATAACCACCAGTATGCAACTGGTATTATAATCAGGACTGGTTGGTAAAGCAAATCAGACTAACATCTTTTCACATCCACAGTAGTTTGGACCATCTTCTCCCTATATACTATAATATGGTATAAATTCCTGTACATAGAGGAGCCTACATTAATCTCATACAATTACATGAAGATTACTTCTTACCCTAAAAAAGACATGCATTTTACAGAGAATCCTGTGAAGCATTTTGAGATGTTCTTTTGACATGAAAGGCAGTATTTCAAATGTAAGAATTATTATTATTAAAAGCTGCATTATTATTATTACCAAAAAAATGAAATAAAAATGGAGGAAGCTTATTTGAATTGGAAGTCCAGGAAGGAAATCATCCCTTTAATGGTATTGGTGGACCTCCTATTGTTTAGTATCTTGGGATAGGATGCTTTACACACTGATGTAAAACCTTGGCTGATTTTCCTCCCTCTAACCTAGGGACTCAAAAATCAATTTTAACACCACCCAGTTGAAATCAGCTAACTCAGCACAGACCAGAGGTGTGTGGGACAGGAAGCAGCAAGTGCAGGAGGCCAGCAGACAGACCCACAATGTGTGTCAGCCAACACCAGCAATCCTGAAACTGCTAAATCCCATCTGTCTGGCACGCTCCAACATTCCAACTGAGCTCAGGTCAATGTTTAGTTGGCCAATGGGTGCTGGTGGCCTCAGGACTTCGACAATTCTTGGCTCATTACAGGGCACCTTTCTTTTCGACCACGCCTTTGGTCACCTTCTTCCCCCTCCTCCTGGCTCGGCCCCGGGATCCATTACTGTGAAGCACTCTGAGACGCCGTCCGGAGTGGAGGGCGCTATATAAATCCAAGTTGCTGCTGTTGTTGTTGTTGGCATGCCCATCTGAGGGGCTTGTCTGGGGGAAAGAGACTGGCTAGGAAATGAAGAGGAAAGAGAGGAGAGAAGGGACGCTGGTGACTGGATAGAGTAGAGAGGAATGTTGTAAGAATGAGGGCTGGAGAGTGACGGAAGGGGAGGCTGGGGCCTGGAGAGTGGAGAGTGGAGGGCAGACATGGGATTGGAGAAAGCGGTGGATTAACATGGCACCATGACCCGAGGCCCACGCTCAGAAGAGGCCCATTCAGTGGCCGACTGACTATATAGAGCGCTCCCATGATTGGCTGCCAAGTGCCCCCGTGATTAGTTGCCTAGCACTCCTGTGATTGGCATCCGGTGTGAGGGACGCTATATAAATGCAAGTTGTTGTTGTTGTTGTGGTGCCAATCTCACAAAAAGTTAATCCGGCTCTGTATTCTAATCATTTCATGGCTGTTGGTGGGACATTAGCTGTATGCAAATAGGTTGCTACATTTGCCTGTAAAATACAGTCACTGTGCTTTATCGTATATCCTTTGAAGCAATTTTAGATATCCTCCTGACATGTAAGGAGGTTTATTAATAATAGTAATAATAATCCTTACATGTGATATAGTGCCTTATCACATCTTCAAGATGCTTCACAGAATATAATGTAACATGAATTGACTGTATGTTTTGTGGGCAAAACATTAAATGTAAGAATTATTATTAATATTATCAATTGTTATTGAATGCTTATTGAATGTTTCACAGCTTGATGCACGTGTCGGTTAGAGTTTAAGTTACACTCCAGATGGCCACAACTACACTCATCCCAGAAGATTAGTGCAATAACCAGATGAAAATTGCAACCAATGTTGTACTCTATATGGCTTTCAAAATGAGGGCAGTACAGTATGTGCTCCACACTTATTAGCTCAGGGAATTTTATTTTGTTTAGCAAGGTGTCTAAGACATGTGCAAACACATCATCATACTTAAGCGTATCCAAACCAAACTATTGAAAGTTCAACATATGCATGAACATTTCTGTTAATCTGGAATGTAGTGCATACTCTTGCATACTCAGGGACTCACTGTGCTCACCTAATCACCTAATCACCTAATCCTGGAACAAGATGGCCTGGAAGATATTGGAAGATATTGATCTGAATCTAACACATGATCTGACTCCGACTTTGGAAAGTGTTCTGAAATGCAACCCTATGTGAAGGGCTCAATATAAATGTATGTTGTTGTTGCTGACTAATATCTCCTTAATTATGCATTATACTGTACATATCAAACTCAATATATATATTATACTATTTTACTCTGAAATTTTATTGTACTTGTCACTGAATTGATGCTTAATGTTATGAAGTTTGGTATAATATTCCCAACTGATTTAGCTGAGTGCATTCTTGAGAACTAGGATAATTTGGGCTCTCCGTTTCCCTGCTATTCAGTTTAGTTCTGACGCTTTCTTGATTCAGAAATCACACACTTTTGATGGTACAACTTCATAACCCCATCTATCTTTTTCCAATCTGTAATTTCTGAAGATTTTTTATGACTTACAAGGAACACACAAGTTTTATTGAAGAGATACAATAAATATGAAATGCCAAACAGATGTAACGTAAGATGCAAACACAAATGTTGAGAAGTCCTATATCTTTGAAATGTTAAGAAATGAGCCATTGTAACATGTGAAGCCAAGAAACCCATTCCTCCTCTCACCACCAAAAAATAGAAGCTGACGTTTGTCAAACAGATAGTTAGAATTGTATTTTAATGGGATGATTCTTAAAGTTTACAATCATAAAAACATAGACATTTAAGACTGAACTTTATTCTTATAAAATAATTTACAGATTTCCTATGATCTATATTGCATGTACGATTAACAGGGCAGCTAGATAAAGCGGCTTGCTTCAGCAATTTTGAATGATGAAATAATTTAGATGCAGTTCATGCAGTGTAGAAATCCAAAAGGTGACAGCACTTGAATCTTCTCCAGTCACTGTAAACCAATCTTATTCAATGTCAGATGTGGCAAATGACTTATGAACATGCAACTGCAAGGGCCAGATGCTAACTGGGTACATCAGGCTCAGTCTCTTCAAATAACCATTGAATTATGTAAACATAAATATACAAGTAGATATCTTTCTAAATAGTACAAATACATGTTGCAACGTCTCAGCTGTATAAGTAGTCAGTCTGTATATTTTCATCTAGTGAAATAATGTTCATAGTTCAATAAAGTTTTGAGTCTATACATGGAGTCACTAACAAGACCTCCTTGTTTTTACCAGTTTACTCTGATACTTGACAGAGTGTCCTCCATGTCCTATGACATAAACATCCAGAAGGTACGATTTGCCAGGCTGTAGTCCTCTGATTGTCTCTGTAGTCACTGCTTTCTGTAGGATCTGACTGTGGAAGTATTTGCAGACAACCTTCTCAGATTTCTTTCTGGTGTCGGGTCCAATACATTGGTTCTGCTCTCTTCTCTTCTGTTCCTCGCTGTAATTGTTTTCCACAAGTTTTTTATAAACGCAGAACTTGTTCCTCTCCTGTGTGCCCAGCCACGCCACAGTCACCGAAGAGCAAGTACGGAGTTTGTCAAAGACTTTAATGCGCATGTCTTCAGGTACTGAAGGGAATGGTTGCTTGTTTGCCCTGGTGCTAGCCAGGATCTTGAGCATGGATGCACCTTTCTTGCTCCCTCTGAGCCTGATCAAATACTTGGCTTTAGGTTTTCCCCTCAGCTGGAAGTGGCGGACACCTTCAACATTCTGTGAAAGCAGCAGCTTTCCATCTCTTCTGACCTGGATTTGGACAGTGTCCAAACATGAGTGCACATAGAGCATCACTTTCTGGTGAGAGGAGACAGGAGCGAACCTCAGGAACTTGGCACCCTTTCTTTTAACAAACACATCAGTCACTTTCCCATCTTTCAGCTCCATTGTCTTCTGCTTAGTCTCCTCCTTGGTTTTAGCAAAGGTCCCCACATAGGCAGTGCTCATATTCGAGATGGCGTTAACCGCAAAAATGTCAAAATAGTACTGAGTATCTGGCTTCAGGTCTGACACAGTGAAAATGTTTTTGTTTCCAATGCAGATCTGCTGAAGGTCCACCTTTCTTCCTCTAGACATTTGCCGAGACATCCGTGTTGTGACTGGTTTGGCCATGTTCGATCGCTCTCTGCCATAGTCACTGTCCGAAGCAAAACCAAAATGAGCAAAGTCAAAGGGGCTGAAGTCTAGTCCAGGCTTAGGAGCTGTCATAAAGGCGTCGTCAACATTTAATTTTGTTTCCACTGCACAAAGACTTTTGAAGTTATGCTCTTTATTGATGATCACACAGTACTCGATGGGCTGCCTCAGTTGTGTGAGGGTAGGACTGGGTTTCCAAGCCAAGGTGACAGTTGTACGTCCAAGCGAAGTCACATCTACCCGTGGATCATACGGAAGCTCAGGATAAGGTTGATCTGATTCAGGAGTAGTTGTTGCATATACTTTGAAATTTGTATCTTTCTCTGTTGAAATCAGCTCCAAACGGTACAAACCGGATGGTGAGTTGGATGCTGCAAAGGATTCAACATCATTGCCTTTGTAAGAGTACAGATCAGTTCCTAGTTCATTCAGTACCTGCTGTTTTTGCCTCTGCTGATCAAGTGGCTCTGGTTCTCCTGTGGACAAAAAGAAAGCCAAATGAATATTAACTTGGTGGAAATTCTTACCTCAGAACAATGTCCTCCCCAACGATTAAAAACAAATTCTTATTCCACATGCAATGGGATCATCAATGCACATATATGATATGAAATATATATGTTATAGTTTGTAGGCGTTGTGGGCCTCTGATTGAAGTGAAAATGAAGGTGTCTGGATTGACAGGATTCAGGAATCTAGGGCATAATTTTCATTGACTTACTAAGAACAGGAGGAAATTTCAACCCTCCTTTCCTGCATTCTGCATTACATTATCATATGAAAATCTCTAAAAGTGGTGATGATGAGATATTTCTGGTTCAAACATGCTAACTTCTGAACCTAATTATTTATAATTGGAAGATAATACAGAGTTTCCAAGTGTTTTGCCAACAGCCGTTAATTCCTGGTAAAGACACTGATTTCAGAATCGATATTTAATTAAGGAATAAGAGTAAAATGAGTGGGAACACAGTTAAATTCCAAGATAAATTGAGAAGAAACAACACGTTGCAATCAAGTTTATTATTTTTATTCTCAACCACCGAATTCACCTACAAAGTACAGTCCCTACACTTCACAGTAAATGATAATAATAATAATCCTTGCATTTCATATAGCGCCTTATCATGTTTTGGAGATGTCTCAAAGTGCTTCACAGGATATACTGTAAAGCAAATTGACTGTATTGCTGTGCGCAATTGGCTGCCGCGTTCGCCCACAAATATACAGTCAATTCACTTTACAGTGTGTTCTGTGAAGCGCTTTGGGACGTCCTCCCAACGTGAAAAGCACTATATCAAATGCAAGGATTATTATTGTTATTATTATTATATTTTCTTAATTGTGTGAAGCAAATTGAACATTCTCCCCGTGTGTGACAAGCACTATATCAAATGCAAATATTATTAAAAATGCATGAATTTAATGTATATTTAAAATCAATGCAGCAATACGTTAAAATGAATTATCTTCTAATGGCTCAAAGAAACAAAACAACAAGTGTTATTGTTGGAGATGTTGTCCTTCAGATGAGACTTTAAACAGATGAGGTCTCATCTGCCAGTTCAAGTGGACGTTAAATATTCCATGGCACTGTTCAAAAAGAGAAGGAAGTTTCTCCTTGTCTCCTGCCAACAATCCCCCAAATAAAAGCAAATGGTCACTCGCTCCATGGTTGATTGTGGGACTTTGCTCTGCACAAATTGGCTCTTGCGTTTTGCCCACAAAATACACAGTCAATCTACTTTACAGTTTATCCTGTCAAGCACTTTGAGCTGCCTCAACAAAATGATAAAGCGCTACATCAAATGCAAGGATTATTATTTATTATATGAAATAGAGGACCCGGAAGGATCTCTCACACTTTATGGTCATGTTACATTAAGTGCATTTAGAAGATATAGGTTTTACGTTTTGTTTTTTCTCACAACCAATTGTTCTCATATAATTTTCTCCCTCCCTTTTTTCTACCCTGAAGGTAATTAAATCTTTTTTCTACTGAGGTAAGGTTACACGGATCCTGATTACCCTGTGGTACCTTGTCCACACAGTTGTAATTTATATGTGAGCCTTGACAGTGAGTCCTGGGAGACTATCCAATTGCACACGGCATCCAATTGAGCCTGATCCTCTCCTCACTTGTGGGAGAAATTCCACCTCGCTCTAGATTGACTCTATTTATGTTGCATTTTAGATCATCCTGAATTTGCAAATTGTTGAATTCAGGCTTAACTGAAGTCAGTTTTCTGGCAGTTCTTAAAAGAATCTAAGAATTTGTCAAATTCTGGATGCACTGAAATGTTACATAAATTTAAATCTAAATTTAAAGAGTAAATCCTGACCAAAGGGGAATTTATCACTACGATTGTCCCCACATATTCTTCCAGGAGGAGCCTTTGGTTACTCTTCAAGAGTGGAAGTACTGATTAACTTTTTCCTCCTTTATTTAGCCGCCCTTCCTGGAAACCTGTTCCAGTCATTAATTACCCTCTGAGTAAAGAGAAACTTTCTGATATCTGTCCTAAAATTGCCTTTTGTAACTCTAAACTCACCAAGTGTGTGCTCTTGGTGTATCCTAAAGTGTTAACTAAAAAACAGACCAGGATTTGAACCTATAACTTTCTTAACTGCATGATCAAGTGCTCACCAAATCTGCTAGTCTAATTATAGTGTCTAATAAAGTATTTCTTAAAAAATTTCTTGATAAGAAATGTGTAATTTCAAATTTCTAAAATATGGAATGTCCTGAATACATTTTAGCACATTTGAACTTTATATATTCAGGTAATTACACATTTCTTATTCAGAAATTGTTATAAAATGCTAAAAATTAGATATTGTCAAAATGCATTCATCCTAGCGCCACAAAGAGCAGCATTCCCCCTGGGCTTTAATAAATAATTTATGCCCTAATCCATCAGCAAACACATTGCACCGTTCACAATAACATCAATAATATATCACCTTCAGTGGAAAATAATTTTTCATCTTGCAATTAGATCGCTCAATAATCATAAAAGACCAAATGTAGAAAATTCATGGGAAATGTACAAGCTTATTCTGAAAGGCCACTATATTATTTTCATGTAGTAATTTATGTGAAAACCTAGTCTCCACATAAGCAATTTGTGTATCACGTGCGACAAATGCCGGCTTAGTTGTAAAAGACACTGCCAACGGCTAAATTAAATGTTCACAGATGTGTCTAGGATTGTTCTGCAAGTTTCTTTAGCAAGGCTCAAGGTCAGGATTGTACTACAACCTGGCAGAATGTTTACTGTAGGTGATAGCTACTGATCTCTGTCGACTAGATTATTTCTACATCTAAATTGTATTTATTTAGTGAAGGTATTTATGCACAATATCCCAGTTAAGCTTGAAATCCTATTTCCATTGGGCTTCTATCCAAGTGAAGTCATGCAGTACAGGAAACAAAATGGATACAATAAAGATATGGATGATACCTCCATGGGGAGTTCCAAGCGCTCAGTTTGCTGTTGCTGACATTTCAAATTAAGAGTCTGTATGGCTGGATATCGACTGTGTATCTGCATGTAGTAACTAGACAAGCTGCTTCCACTTAACATGAATAAAACTAAGCCATTTTGTCTTCTGTATTGACTACAGATCGCCTCTATGGTACTAATCTTTTAATGATTAGAATCTTTCTGATAAATATCTAATTATCTAATAATCCATGCATCTGATACAGTGAGTTAACATGTCATTAAAATGTCTCAAATTGCTTCACAGGATTTACTGCAGAGTGTAGTGACTGTATATTTTGTAGGTGAAAGAACCTACCAATTTGTGAAAGCAATATCTCGCAAACAACCATGAAGGTAATGATGAATTGTATCGGCAGGGTTTGTGGCCAGGGCATCAGGAGAAACTCTCTTCTCTTTTCAAATAGTGTCTTGGGATTTTTGACATCTACTTGAATGGGCAGACGGGACTAGAGTTTAACATCTTATCTGAAGGATGGCACTTTGACCATAGAGTGCTCCTCCACTAATACACAAATCATGCTAGACTGTGAGCTATCTATGCCAATTTACCTAGTGATTTTGTTTACCAATTTACCCAGTGCTCCAAGACGCCATCCGGGTTGAAGGGTGCTATATAAACGCAAGTTGTTGTTGTTGCTGCTTATGCTTTATCGCAGTTGTAAAATAATTTTCAATAATGTTTATCCTAAACATTTTTACTCTTAAAATTGGAATTAGATCAGAGCCTTTACTCACTAAGTTATTTTTCTTACAAGATTTTTTCAGTGACATTCATTTGACTGAAGAGAAAGCAAATTCCACCAACTATGTGGATTTTATTTTGAAGGAACTAATCTTTTATTTCTCATCTTATTGCTTTTTGTTTCATCAACACTCTTACCAGAACCTTCTCCACTTGACTCTTCCGGCAGTTCTTGAAGACTTAGTTTCCATTCCAAGGGGGCGTCACATGGTGTAATGGTAATTAATAAGGGAGTATTGTCCTCTTCAACCACAAAATAATATCTGCAAAAGAAAAGTGCAAGCAGTAAAATCTGCTTCTCAGATACTTCGCGTCTCAAAATAATCAATGGAAACTGGAAAATTTGGACGAAAATCTGGCCACATACAGATACGTATTGCCACTAATTAAGTCATTTGGTGAAATGAACAGAAAACAACTTTGAATATGAAATTTAGTAACTACATTTGGTATTATGGCAAACAGCAAATGATTGTCCATTGTTTCCCAAAATTGTGAATATGAGTTAATGGAGGCTTATGTTTGTCAACTGAACCTCAGCAATGGCTAGGTTTCATTGATTGATATAGAATACAATTTATCATGTTTGATGTGTTATGTACCTTAACAAAGAGTGTTATTTGTTTGATCTTATGTATTTTCTAACTTAGCGCTTACAGCATACAATTACTGTAATGGGATAGGACCTCACAAGATGCCAGCTGACCTTCAGAATTTACATAAATAAATCACCTTCCTTTACATAGAATGGCTCAGCAAAGAACAATTTACTTATATCTAGGCTAGGCATGAAAATATTTAGGTGATTATGCATGTTGGAAGATCTTGTACTGAGACGGTAAAGTAAGAGAACATAGGTTTAGAGTTGTTAGAGGAAATTTTAGGACAGACACCAGGAAGTGTTTTCTTTACTCAAAGGAAATTAATGACTGACACAGGTTCCCAGGAAATCTGGATGAGGCCAGGATGCTGGACTCATTTAAAAACAAGTGCCATGCTGTGATGGGAGATGGTAGGGTGGGTATTCTGGAGGGATGAGATCAAATGGGCCGAAAGACTTACTTGATCAAAAGCAACTGTATGTTCTTGACTGATCAAATTCACGTTAAAGTATAATTTAGAATTTTTTTTAGCTTAGAAAAATTATAAAATTCTTAGAAAACCAATGGATAGGTTATTTTCTAAAGTTTGTGAAAAGAAAATATAGTGACTATGAAGCGTAAATGAATGCATGTGGATATCATTTATAAAGTACATTTCTACACACAATAACATACATTTTGAGGAAATGTTTGTTGGGATGATGGTCCTGTCCCAAGAATCAAAACTTTTGCCAAGATCTGCCTGACCCTGGCATCTGACACAAAAATACTGCAAAAAGCTATGTAAATAGAGCTCCATCAAGTGGCAGGAAATAGATACTGTAACATTTCAATTTACTCCACAGGTCCTATGGATTTACAATGATATTTTCTGCAATTTGATGTTGAAATAAAACAAATGCAGAATCTTAGATTAGGGTGATTGTTCCATTTTTCACTGATATATACTGTTTTTCTTAGCATTAGACGGATCTCTGCAGTCTAATGAGAGCAGATCATGCATCAGGCTTGTTATTCAAAGGTCTGTGTTTTTATTCCATTTTAAAATATTTCTATAATTTCTATGTATTATAGGGGATATTACAGGCTTGAAGCTGCATTCTGTTTCTCCATTCTACAGTACATCAAAGCTCTAATGAACCCTATCGTTAGTTGAGTTACCCTCAAACTTCGTATTATCAACATACTATCCATGTAAAAAGATTTTTTTCTTGATATCTTGATTGACCCTCAGACTTGATTTTGTGATTATGTGTGGACCAAGGTTCTGCAATTTCATGACGCATGTTGGTATCCCTCATGCACTGTTCTAAACTTAAAAGCATTTGGGATTGCGTATTATAGGTTCCATCATTCAGGCGATAAACAATATGAAAGAAGATTGATTGGAATGTCCAAACATAATATGCTACAATCAAGGAATAAACCATATGCTTTCAGTTTGCAAATGCATTATTTGGAGTAATTTTAACTATAATTTCCACAAACCAGTAGCTTGGATATATATTCAATCCAGTAGCTGATAGTGTGTCCAGCAGTGTACTCAACTTCACTTAGGTGATAATGAATAGAAAGCTGAGAGTTTAATATGGGTTTTAGCAAATCAATGCAAGAATAAAGCAATTCAACAACTGGTACAAACTATGTTCTAGTAAATATCCTTCTGTCTGGTTATGATTTGATCTCTATTTATCATGGACTCCACCAATTAAGATAGAGTAAAGATATTGTTCTTATAACATAGTTGCAAGTTACCTTTTAGGTGTGTCCCTAAAAAGATAGCCACTGATCTCTGCTCCATCTGGGATAACAGATGAATCATGGAAGAGAGACTTGTCTCGAAGTTGCATCTGAAAGAGTTCCTCGTCTCTTGTTGGTAGCTTCTGAGCTCTGGGGTTCATTGCTAACAGCAACAGCGATGCCACTGCCCAGGAAACAGTCAGCATTGTCCTGAAATAAAGACAATATTGGTTTCAAGTCAGCGTTAACAATGCAAAAAATACTGTTATAATGATTTTACAACAAGTAGCTTTAAAATAATAACATTGGACTATTAGTTTGTGATGCATTATTGTTCAAAGCAGAGAAAATAAATCACTAATTTCCAGAAGACACTAGTTAATAATTATAATAATAATAATAATAACCCTTGCATTTGATATAGCACTTTATCACGTTGTCAAGATGTCTCAAAGTGCTTCACAGATATACTGTAAAGAGTAGTCATTGTGTGTTTTGTGGGCAAAATGCAGCACCAAATTGTGCGTAGCAACATTCCACAAATAGTCGTGGATTGGGTGAACAAATTTATTTGTTCATTCATTTATTTATTCATTTATTTATTTTTAGTTTCATCATTGTGATATGACCATGTCAAATGAAAGCAATACAATGACATTATTTTATTAACAAATAACTTCATGGTGTTATGACTGACATTGGCAGGAAACATGTTTATAAATAGACCTTTAAACCTCTGTACAATGTCATTACTGCACTAATGATATATGCTTGAAGAAAAAATCTGAGAAAAGAAAATGAAATCTTGGAACACACTACTAGAGTTCTGCAGCTAAACATGAACCACAGCCGCCGGCCAGCAATTTCCAGTTTCAATATTGGACAATGATAAAACACAATCAGCCTTCTAACATAACTGTCTCTGCAGCTGCAAACATAGAGACTGTCTTTTGTGTTTTTTTCTTTGTTTAAGCAGAAAGATTTTTTTTTGGCTGCCTTGTTTCGTCCACAAATATACGACCAATTCACTTTACAGTATATCTGTGAAGCGCTTTGAGACGTTGAGAAGACATGAAAAGCGCTATATCAAATGCAAGGATTATTATTATTATAAAGATTTGCAAGCACAAAATTAAACAAATGGTAAGGGTAGGCATTCTGAACTTCCACAAATATGCATTTGGGGGAACAAATCACACAGTTAGCATCAATGATAGTTAACAACACCCCACCCACGCCCTGTGTATTAAGGCCATAATTGTGTAAGATAGCGTCTGAAACTATTTGTCTTGTTGATCATAGTCTTCCTATTTCCGTATCATTTTGCAGCTCTACTCATTCATTTCCGTTTTTATGCAAGAAGTAATATAATATAGTTTTCCCTTCTGTTCATTTTAAATTTAACTAGAGATACCACATCGTTTTCTGATAGGGGAAAAGAATGATTCAGTTCAGAGGTGCAAGTAAGTCAATATCAGTTACCTGGCAGGGGGCACTGCCCCCTCTGCCCCCTCTGCTGTATCCCTGCTGCCAAGGAAATTCCTTGCCTGATTTACAATTAAAAAGTGATAACTCTGAGGAAGTTGTTTCCCTAGAGATTCTTAAGCAATTATGTACAGAGAGGAAACTGAATGAGGGGCTGTGGAAAAGAGAGTTTATTCTAAGAATGAGAAGACCTGAGAACCAGTGAGTGGACCTTCATTACATGAAGATTTGGTTGTGTACTCCATCATTTCCGAGAAATGTTATTTTGCGGTCACTGTATTGTAAACAACATAGTAGTGTTACAAAGTTGGAGAGTGGTATTATCCTCCTGAGTGATGATGCAGGTTACCTCTCCAACTTCAAAAACCATACGACAATTTTGGAGTTAGGTCAAATGGCCTCCTTCTGTGCCGTAGGATTCTATGATTCTATAAATTTGCAGGGCTATGGGGTAAGAGCGGGATAGCGGGATTAGTTGTATAGTTCTTTCAAAGACCTGGCACAGGGGTGATGTACCAAATGTCCTCCTTCTGTACTGTAAGATTCTATGACCCTATGAAATCTTCTTTAAGAGGATGAACTGTGTCATGTGCAATTTGTAGGATACTATTGAGACAGTTACCAGAAATGCTTGAGGCCTCTGAGATTACGATCCCACCCTTTTTGCTCTGCAAGCCATTATAACAAGTTGTGACTTTTACTTTTCTGGCTGTAGACCGACCTTTCCTGATCTATGAGGAAGGATCATACAGGCCAGCCATGCCAAAACTGCATCTCTGGCATCTCAGGACAGGCTGACAGCTCAGCACTTCCGTGGCCAGAAGTCTAAAATGGCGAGCACACCTGGAAGTAACAGGAGGGACTGTTTACCTTGTTGTCCCAGCTGCAGTTGTTCCTGAAGGTGGGACATAGACCCACCTCAGGAGGTTGTGGTAAGTGCCTCTGGAGGCAACAATACCACTATGGTTACAGGCAGCATTTTCTTTTAAGCACGGCTGCAATATAATAAATCCATTACTAAATTTACAGGCTTGTCCTGGGCCACAGGAGAATGTATTCAATGTTTGTGGAACTACAATGAAGTTTGAGTTCCATATGTTGTAGATATATGAAGTTGTATTTACTCAATATTTACCTCAAAGTTACTTTCTCCTTAATAATAAAACAAACTGAAATTAAATACATACATTCTGTGGAAATGATAGTTTGCTATGAAATCATTGTCTGATTTCAGTTCTTTTATCCCCAGCCCCATAATCATTAATTAGTTTTCCTGTTCCCGGATGATATTCCAATAAAGTGTGTGGGAGAACCTCTAGACAACAAAAGATCAACCTCTGATAAAAATAATTACTGTGGCGTCTTTCCTTATGAGTTTAGCGACCAGAGCAACAAGACTTCAAATTGCCCCCATATAAAAAGAATCTTCTATAAAAATGCACATCAACACATAGGAATACATATACAGGACATGCCTTCATATAGACAATCAAATGTGTGCTCACCCTTTCGTACTCATACATATACAAATGTAGGCACATAATCAGTCAGAAATGTCACAATATACCTGCAAATGTTGTACATACAAAAACATGTGTCCCTATTATACACACAAAAATATACGCACACACTCAACATGCACACAAAAATCCAGATGATGTTCCAGTCTTTGGATGACATGTATATATATCTACACTAAAAGAAGCACACACAGTAAATGCATATCTACATACATACAAAAATATGTACATAGCTTCAGGATTGGTGCACAATTTATAATAATAATAATTCTTGCATTTGATACAATGCCTTACCTTGTCTTCAAGACATCTCAAAGCATTTCACAGAATATAATGTAAAGTGTAGTGATGTGTGTTTTGTGGATGAAACTCGGCAGCCAATTGCGCACAGCAGTGTCCCACACACAGTCGTGGATTGAATGACCAAATTATATGATGTATCCAATAGACACATACATTTTTGAAGTTGTGCCTAATATTTGAGGGTGATCTTAATTACCATTGAGAAATGCATTTTATGGTAACACTCAATTAAACTAAAGGTGCTTCCATCAAAGTTCGATCCATGGCTATCTTAACATAAAACTAAGAAGTGAACAGCTTCCAGGACTATCATGCGCTGGAGGGATAAATCTGCCTGAAATACACAAACAGTAAATCCTATAAAACACTTTGAGTCATTGCAATGATGTGACAAGGCATCATTCCGAATACAATAATTATCAAATACAAGGTGTCAGCCTAGCTCAGTTGGTAGCACACTTGCTTCCGAATCACAAGTCCCACAGCAGGACTTTTGAGCTCATAGTCTACCTTGTCACTTGTGTATAACTGCGTGCTGCAATGTCAGGAGTGCCATCCTTTGGATAAAATGTTAAATCGAGGTCCCATCATGGCTGTTCAGTGGACATTAACGATCCCATGGCATAATTTGAAAAGAGAAGGGAGTTTCACCTGGTTTCACCTGGTGGCATAGCCAACAATCCTCAAAGTAAAATAGATCATTCACTAAATGGCTGTTTGTGAGACATTGCTGTACATTATTTGGCTGCCATGTTTACCTACTCATACACACTTTACGGTAAATTGTTCCAGACATTTTGACCACGTAGTAAGGCCAGTATATCAAACGTAAAGATTTTTATTATCATTTAAGAGGGTTTTGAGAAGGAACACATGACAACAACATGCATTGATACAGCGTCCCAGAGCGCTTTAAGAAAGAATGAGAAAGAAACCTTTTTAAATCTATTTAATCTTAAAACATTGGATTAATCATTGTGAGAGGTGTAAGAAAACAAAGACTAGAATTCTATGTAAATGGAGAGAATAAACCGCTTAAGGATCCAACTCAATGTTGCTATTCCACTTTTTTTTCTTTTTGAACATATCACTCACTGGCAACTTTGGCCTCATCGGGGAAATATCAGAGGCTAAATTTACAACCAGAACCAGGGTTAGGAATCGGAAACAAAAACACCCCTGAAAACGCGCAGAATGACTTGCGCCCAAACCGAACTGGTTGGATTGTGTGTTGCAAACCGGAATGAGTGAGGTTCAACTTTCAAGTGAATGAGAAGTGATGGGGGTCTGAACCTCGCGGGTCCTGGTACTGATCGGTCCCAGCAAATACTTTCCTGGCATTTAGTGGTGGGTTTAAGCGCCTGTCCTCCTTGTGAACCCCATAAACATGTTCTGACAGATTGACTTCTATGCCAAGGCCCTCACATCACATCTCTCTTTTTACAGCTTGTCATTGTGGGAGGCAGTTTGTTTGCCAGAAAGTCTCACTGCTGCGGTGCTCCTCACATCTCACCTCCTGTTGATCCAATTAAAGGGGCAACGCGACGAGGCGGTGTGGGGGAGAGCAGAGGAGAGGGGGGAGCAGCCATCTGCTCATCTTAGACAGTTTCTTTTAATAATAAACAACGTCTAATTCGAAGAAGAGCTGTGCGACTGTTTGTTTTAATCGTAGAAGAGCATCTGCACCATTTATTTTATTGCTGTGAACGATATTTTCAGCGCCTTGGGACGTCCTCCCTACGTGAAAGGCGCTATACCAATGTAATCTTGTTGTTGTTGTTGTTGTTGTTGTATGTGCACGTTATTCAGGTTGATGTTATTCTGCGGTGTCGGTTCCAAAAGCCGAGCTGTTCCAATGCAAAAAGCCAATCCCGTGTTCATGTCCCTCACAGTCATCCACCA